AATTAATGATAGAGACAACTTAAACAGCGACAAGTTAATTTACGACCAATAGCTGCAATTCCTTGATTATTCGCAACAATATGACGTCAGATTTGTACAAAAAAGGACGGGTTATTCGGAGGCAGAGATAAATAACAGAAGAAAGGAGTTGGTGGATATGGGGGGGAGGTAACCAAAAGGGATTGGGACGTCCAGAGACAGGAGAGGAGGAGCAGATAAGGGAGGGAAGGTACAATGAAAGATATGGGGACATAATGACAAAAAGGTAAATCTGTAAATATTTGTACAATTCATACATTTTAAGAATGGATAAGGTAGAGTCAAGATACTTTCGTGTTGTCCCACGTCTACAATAGTGTGATTCCATTACAGGAAATGATTCTATATGCCTCTTGACCTCATTCAAAATGATAGGTTTAGTCTTGTTTCCTGGGGAATTTATACCTATGTTCAGTATAGCAGAATCAACCGGTCCATAACTTATCAACAAGGTTTTTAAGTAAAAATTTTTACAAACCCTTTTCTTTTCTCCATTTTTAACAAATGTATACATTTTTTGCAGGTCTACTAGAGTTCCTGGTTCATTTTCTTCGGCATTCAGAAGTTGCAACAGTATTAATTATGAAGTCCTTTTGTCTGTCATTGTGATACTGTTTACAGATATCTTGTCGACGACAAACAACACATTAAAAACATTAAAAATACCTTGCTGAATAAGAGTCCACAAGTAACCACTGTGAGTTGAATACTGTGCTCCTGTCACATGGAAGGACTTGAAACATAATTCAATCGCATCAATTACCTTCTCGCATTTATATTTTATGTCATCAATGATCACATATGAAGCACAAATAGAATTCCACGCATTTCCTTCGAATAAAACGTATGGCTGTATACTTATTTTTTGGTCAGCATATCGTCGTTGGCCAACTATATTTCGTTCGATTTCTTCTGGATTCTGTAAAGATCTTATACATAGTTAAATATGTTAAAATATAACATTGTGATACCAAGTAAACATATTCAGATTAACATTATTTACCTTAACAAACAAATACAATGAATCAGCCACCTCTTTAGAACATAATTTTACTCGTCTGTTAATTCTGCCTCGTGGAGAAAGAACATACGGCAATAACATAAACTGAAGTCCCAATGCGATATCTAAAAAAACAGGTACATCACAAAACATTATAAATATATATATAGATACTTCAAGAGTATCTTATACTTGTTTCTAAGAAATACATTCAAGAATAAATTTAATTAAAGACTTGGTAATTATGGAATTTGAAGTTATAAGCATTATTATGGTATTTTTGGGCTTGTTCATGTTTTCAATAAAAATAATATTAAAGTTCAGGTACATGAGCATTAAAACCTAAAAATCCACTTGACTTGGTCACTTTCTCTTGTGTACTGTCGATATGTTGAAAAGATATAGCGAACTGAGAGTAGAAGAAAGGAACCGGTGGCAGAGGAGATAGAAAGCAGAGGATGGAACGAAGGAAGGTGGTGATAACGGAAGTTAAGTTTGGTTTGGCATGTGTTGTACAGAAAATTATAAACTTTTAGTTGACAATAAAAACTCTTATTATTATAAACAATTTTTAAAAAAAATTTAAAGCATTCCATTCAAATTTCCATACGGAAATAAGTTTTGTGACTTTTCCAGGTTATAAAAGAATCTTTGTGATTTGCTTATACCAAATTTTAACTCTCCACAATGAAAATTTATTCTCTAGCAAGAAG